CGAACGGGGGAGCGCACGGGGGAGCGCACGGGGGAGAGCACCGGGGAGCGCACGGGGGAGCGAACGGGGGAGAGCAGCGGGGAGCGCACGGGGGAGAGCACCGGGGAGCGCACGGAGAGCACGGGGGAGCGCACGGGGGAGCGCACGGGGGAGCGAACGGGGGAGCGCACGGGGGAGCGAACGGAGCGCACCGGGGAGCGCATGGGGGAGCGCACGGAGCGCACCGGGGAGCGCATGGGGGAGCGCACGGAGCGCACCGGGGAGCGCACCGGGGAGCGCACGGAGCGAACGGAGCGCACGGAGGAGCGAACAGGGGGAGCGCACCGGGGAGCGAACAGGGGGAGCGCACCGGGGAGCGCACGGAGAGCACGGGGGAGCGCACGGAGCGAACAGAGCGCACAGGGGAGCGAACAGGGGGAGCGCACGGAGCGCACAGGGAAACACCAGGGAGCGCACAGGGGAGCGCACCTGAGCCCGAGCCCGCCGAGCCTCCGGGGCTGCCGCACGGCCAGAGCCAGCCCAGCTCCAGCACAGCCCCGGAAGCGCTGCCCGGAGCCACTCCGGGTGTGCTGGTTGTGTCCAGGGTTGGCTTTCCAAGGGGCTGGAAGTGATTGATGGGAAAGAGGAGTGAAATGAGCAGGGAGAGCTGGGTGTGGAACTCTGCAGGCACGCAGGGAGATAGACTCTGTGGTATCCAGGGCTTCCTCCAGAGGTTCAGGTTGTACTTATGCCCTTGGGGTCACAACAATTTGCTTATTGATGTTAGGAACTTGGGCAGGAATTTCCATGAAAAATACATTCCTGTCAAGCTGGAGGGCTTCACAATGCTGAGGGATGGCCTTGAAAATCCAGCAGACTTTGACAGACATCTGTTGATGTTTGTCAGCTGCTTTCCACTTTTAATGTCCGAGCTAATGAGGCAGAGGGTGTTCTCTGGAGCAGCATGGCTCTGCTGGCTTCTGCCATGCTGCTTTGAGCCTTCAGTGCTTCCAGTGAACCTTATTATGTCACAAATGGTGGGAAATTATTAAATTACTTCCATAAATTATCAAAAGTCAATAATCATTTAATAAAAATTCCATTCAACTGAAGTGATCTCCTTAAAACAAGCTCCAATCAATTGAATTGATACAAGAGGCAGGGTCATGTCCTGGCCCCTTTCCTTCTGCTGTGATGCTGAGCAGCCAAGTCCAGATGGGAGCTCCTGGAGCCCTGCTGCTTCCAGGGCCCTGGAGGGGAGGGGAGGTAACCTGGGGTTCTTCACACAGGCCCAGAGTCATGGCAAGCACTGGCTGAACTTGAATTTTCTTTTTTATTTATTTATTATCCATCCATCCATCCATCTATCCATCCATCCATCATCCATCATCCATCCCTCATCCATCATCCATCCCTCATCCATCATCCATCCCTCATCCATCATCCATCCCTCATCCATCATCCATCCCTCATCCATCATCCATCCCTCATCCATCATCCATCCCTCATCCATCATCCATCCCTCATCCATCATCCATCCCTCATCCATCATCCATCCCTCATCCATCATCCATCCCTCATCCATCATCCATCCCTCATCCATCATCCATCCCTCATCCATCATCCATCCCTCATCCATCATCCATCCCTCATCCATCATCCATCCCTCATCCATCATCCATCCCTCATCCATCATCCATCCCTCATCCATCATCCATCCCTCATCCATCATCCATCCCTCATCCATCATCCATCCCTCATCCATCATCCATCCCTCATCCATCATCCATCCCTCATCCATCATCCATCCCTCATCCATCATCCATCCCTCATCCATCATCCATCCCTCATCCATCATCCATCCCTCATCCATCATCCATCCCTCATCCATCATCCATCCCTCATCCATCATCCATCCCTCATCCATCATCCATCCCTCATCCATCATCCATCCCTCATCCATCATCCATCCCTCATCCATCATCCATCCCTCATCCATCATCCATCCCTCATCCATCATCCATCCCTCATCCATCATCCATCCCTCATCCATCATCCATCCCTCATCCATCATCCATCCCTCATCCATCATCCATCCCTCATCCATCATCCATCCCTCATCCATCATCCATCCCTCATCCATCATCCATCCCTCATCCATCATCCATCCCTCATCCATCATCCATCCCTCATCCATCATCCATCCCTCATCCATCATCCATCCCTCATCCATCATCCATCCCTCATCCATCATCCATCCCTCATCCATCATCCATCCCTCATCCATCATCCATCCCTCATCCATCATCCATCCCTCATCCATCATCCATCCCTCATCCATCATCCATCCCTCATCCATCATCCATCCCTCATCCATCATCCATCCCTCATCCATCATCCATCCCTCATCCATCATCCATCCCTCATCCATCATCCATCCCTCATCCATCATCCATCCCTCATCCATCATCCATCCCTCATCCATCATCCATCCCTCATCCATCATCCATCCCTCATCCATCATCCATCCCTCATCCATCATCCATCCCTCATCCATCATCCATCCCTCATCCATCATCCATCCCTCATCCATCATCCATCCCTCATCCATCATCCATCCCTCATCCATCATCCATCCCTCATCCATCATCCATCCCTCATCCATCATCCATCCCTCATCCATCATCCATCCCTCATCCATCATCCATCCCTCATCCATCATCCATCCCTCATCCATCATCCATCCCTCATCCATCATCCATCCCTCATCCATCATCCATCCCTCATCCATCATCCATCCCTCATCCATCATCCATCCCTCATCCATCATCCATCCCTCATCCATCATCCATCCCTCATCCATCATCCATCCCTCATCCATCATCCATCCCTCATCCATCATCCATCCCTCATCCATCATCCATCCCTCATCCATCATCCATCCCTCATCCATCATCCATCCCTCATCCATCATCCATCCCTCATCCATCATCCATCCCTCATCCATCATCCATCCCTCATCCATCATCCATCCCTCATCCATCATCCATCCCTCATCCATCATCCATCCCTCATCCATCATCCATCCCTCATCCATCATCCATCCCTCATCCATCATCCATCCCTCATCCATCATCCATCCCTCATCCATCATCCATCCCTCATCCATCATCCATCCCTCATCCATCATCCATCCCTCATCCATCATCCATCCCTCATCCATCATCCATCCCTCATCCATCATCCATCCCTCATCCATCATCCATCCCTCATCCATCATCCATCCCTCATCCATCATCCATCCCTCATCCATCATCCATCCCTCATCCATCATCCATCCCTCATCCATCATCCATCCCTCATCCATCATCCATCCCTCATCCATCATCCATCCCTCATCCATCATCCATCCCTCATCCATCATCCATCCCTCATCCATCATCCATCCCTCATCCATCATCCATCCCTCATCCATCATCCATCCCTCATCCATCATCCATCCCTCATCCATCATCCATCCCTCATCCATCATCCATCCCTCATCCATCATCCATCCCTCATCCATCATCCATCCCTCATCCATCATCCATCCCTCATCCATCATCCATCCCTCATCCATCATCCATCCCTCATCCATCATCCATCCCTCATCCATCATCCATCCCTCATCCATCATCCATCCCTCATCCATCATCCATCCCTCATCCATCATCCATCCCTCATCCATCATCCATCCCTCCATCCAAGAAGAGCCAAATTCTTCAGAGTCCTGGACCATGAATTTGCCATTTCAGGGGATTTGTGTTTTTTGACAGATCATGGAGGAACTACAATCCTTTTTGTTCCCTAGGAGACCAATGGGGTAAACTGTGTCTAGGCTAAAATATATTTATTCCATTTTTGGTATCCTCCCCTCATACACACCCTGGGTTTCTTTTCATTTTGGAGCTAAAGACCTTAAAGACAGTGAGGGCCCTTTGCTTGCACATGTTGAGGTTTATTCTGACCCTCTGCATCACATCCAATGCTTGCACTTGGCAGCTTTGCTCCCAAAGGTGACCTTCCCAGTGCCTGCTGAGAATCCAAACCTTCTAAGTGGTCCTGAGCAACACAGACCTCGTGCTAAATGTGGGGGAGAGACTTCCAGGGTCACAGATCATCTGTGGAGAGCAGGAGGCTGTTCCTGAGAGGCCATCTGGGTGCACTGCTTGTTCTGTGTCATGTCCTGCTCTGTGGGGCTTCCATCGCTCCACAACAAACCCAAGGTGCTGCTGTGCCTCCAGCCAGTCCAGGGACTTCAATCACTTGTTGTTATTGCCTCTCTGTTTGTGTTTTTCTAAGCATTTGTGTTCCACCAGCACACTCAGAGTTAGTGCTCTCGAGGGGGAATTTCCTTCCTGATAAACAATCCTGCAGTGTGATTCAGCAGGAAGGATGTGGTGGTTAAGGCACTGGACTGGGATTTGGGAGACAGAGATTCTGTTCCCAACTCTACCACAGTCAAGATGTGATGATGAGTGGAAGGGCAAGCAAACAAAGAGGAGGAGCTGTGTAGCTGTGGCAGAAGCACACTTTCACATGGCCTGTTTGGATTGGGGTTAGGTAGGTCTGGGGTTTGCAGAAAATCACAGAATCTGCTGAGCTGGAAAGGACCTCAGGATCATAGAGTCACACTCTTCACCCTGTGCAGAAGTTTTCTTTGGCTTCTCAAGTGAAGAGCTTTAGGGACTCTTCTTTGTGCAGTTCAAATCTGGAGCTCAGTTTATTCCAGGAGCCCAGCTGTGTTTTTAACTCCATGTTGTTTCACCTCCCGTGGGCTCTCAGGTGCCACTTTCAGTGCTTCTGGTTGACCCAATTCAGTTTATCACTGCATTCTCTGATCTTCAGGCACATGTCCTATGGCACATGGATGTAGGTTCTCCACTCTCCTGCTAAATTCAAGGATCACACACCAGTTACTCCCTGTCTCACATAGGGTGAAGTTCCCACAGTTTGTCAGTAAATCTACTTTTTCTTTCCAGAAGCAGCAGCTTGGGCTGTGTCTGACCTCCAAAACCTCCAAACCTCCCTTCCATCCTGACCTGGTGCTGCCTTTGGGAGAATGAATCAGGACAGTGACTCAAGTGATCAGCCCACAGGTGAGTTTTTATTCAGTATGATTTGCTCTCCATTTATTTTCTTACTGCTACTGGAGGAGAATGCTGAGTCACAAATAAAGCAAAATGTGTGAATCAATGCTAAATTGCATGCCATAAAGATTATTGGATCTTTGAGGTTTCCTGTCTACATCTGGAAATCAGCATTCTTAGAATTCTAGTCCAGGCTGGAAATTTTTCTAGCAATATTTTTTTATAAGTTCTCACCAATTCAGAAGAACACAGAGGTTTTATTACTATGTTAGAGAACTCATTCTGCTATTTGCCATAACTTAGTTTTCTCATTAATTGCTTTGGTAATTGGTGACCCTCTGCATTAAGATGTGCACACATTGTCAGGTATGTCCCAGCAAGGCAGGGGTCAGGGTCCCTGCTGCAGAGATTGAGTGGACAGCAGTTTGTTACTTCTGGCTCAGAGCTGCCATAAATGTGCTCTGTTCTTCATGCCCATCTTTGGCAGTGGGAGCTGAGCCTCACCGAGTGCTGCTGGCAGTTTGTGCTGGGAGAGGAGGGTGCCAGGGCTGTGCCTGAGGCCTCCCAAGCTCTGCTCAGCCTCAGCTTTCTTGGAAGTGTCAGGGGGCATTCTCAGCTCTGACATGAGGGCTATTTTTTGACAGTTCACATTGTTCCTCACTCTTTGTTCATGGGTGAGGTCTTTTTGTCTGAGGCCTTTGTCAGAAATAGAGGCTGTTAGGAGGAGCTGTCTGCTCACAGGTTTGGGAAGTATTCTTTTGTTCTCAAGAGTCCTGAGAATTTCTTCCTCCCTTTTACAGACTGGCCTGGGCAAACTTGCCCAGACAAATGAGGGGATTGCTGGGATCTCCCCTTGCTGGGCCAGCAGTGGAACAGGTCCTCAGAGCCAGAACCTGTGTGCCCTCCTCTGGCTGTCCCCAGCCACGTGGCTGGGGCAGAGCAATTTGGGGTTCTGAACATCTGCCTACACTAAAGCCCTTGCCATTGGCCATGGCTTTGAATCTGGAGCTCAAAAATGGAAAATCTTAGAAAAATTCCTGTGGTAGCATGAAATATCTATTCTCTAATACTCAGCATGTACGTCTATCACTGTGAACAGGTGATGATGACACTTCAGGATGTCATGGAGATTCATGAATCATCCACAGAAGGACCTAGAGGCTGGGTTTGGGGAAAAAGACTTTCAGGTCTCTATAACACATCCTGGGTGCTCATGAGAAATTTCTGGTCAGAATATTCATAGATTGCTCATTGCAGCCTTATTTTTTGTAGCTGTAAGAAATGTTGTGGTTTGAGTTTAGATGCACTTTCTGAAATAGGCCCAGGAATGAATCCGTCCAGGGGGACACATTTTCAGTGTATGTAAAATGTCACATGTACATTTTACACCTCCTGCTGAAGTGCTTAGTCCTGGTTGCTCTTGGAGTCCAGTCCTGGGTTAGACAGGTGTGATCACTGGTGATTTATATCCTGGCTGAAGATAGGGATCTTCCAGTCTGGACCTCTGTTTGTTCAGCTTCCAGCACCACCTATTGAGTTTTACATTGTTGGTTCATTTCATTCTCTGAGCTGCCACTGGAGCTATACTTAGAGAGGAAGGATATTATAATCTTGTGAAAGATTAAAATATTGTTACTGTAATCCAGCTGGAAGGGGAGACCTTTTCTCATGGTGAGAGACAGCCAAGGTTTTTCCCATTCTGTCCTCCCCTTGTATGCAGGAAGGAAGTGCTGGCAAAGGCCCCTCGGCTTCCTGCCGGCTCAGGAGCACATTTCCAGACAAGCCCTCTCCACCATCCATCACCAGCCCAGCCAAACAATCCCAGGGCTGAGGGGAAAACACCCAGCTGGGATAAACACCGGGAGCAGAGCCTGGAGCACAGCCCTGGAGCCCAGCACCAAGAAGCCTCCTCTGGGGCTGGCAGCAGGCACTGCACGTTTTCTGCCCTGCCCTTTATCATTAAATATCTAAATAATCAAAGTTCCCCTTGGAAGAAGCAGCTCAACAAATTAGGAAGGGAGGAAAGGCAAAAGGCTGATGTTTGCTGAGGAGCTGCTGAGCTGGCAGGCGGTGGGACCAAAGCTGGGGATGCTCTGGGGTGCAGAGCACGTGGATCTCACTGCTGGGATGGAGGCAGAGCCTTCTGGCAGCACTGCAGGGGCAAAGCCATCTGTGATGCCTCAAGGAAGGAGGAACCAAGTCAGGTGGAGGCCTCACCTTTGACTGGATCACTTTGGCTGAATAGGATTCTCTCCAAGAAGAGGCTCAGAACTGAACTGAGATCTTTTTCCCTGTATCACTGCTTTTGTTTAAATGCTGCATTACAATATTTGGGTCATATTTTCAGATCTATCTGCACTGTAACCTGTTTTTATCCATTCCTTGAACCAGCTATTTGGGTTTATATTTTTCAGTATTTTTTGGCATCCTCACAAACCTTGAGCTGGGAATTCCTCCCAACAAGTACCTGGAGGCAGGCTGTAGTGAGGTGGTGGTTTGGTCTCTTTTGCCCTTTGCCAGGGGACAGGACAAAAGGAAACAGCTTTAGTTGCAACAGGGGATGTTCAGATATCAGAGTTTTATTTTCTCTGAAGGAGTGCTCAGGCTCTGTGCTGACTCCTGCAGGAGCACCTTCTCCTCCCAGCCACATGTGCCTTTCTGGGCTTCTCTCATTCCTTCTCCACTGTTTCACATTTTCACTCTCCTTTGTCTGGGCTTGCAGCAGGTGGGCACTAAGCTCCTTAAATCCTTTACAACACTCTGCAGAACAGAATTATTTTTTTATTTAAGGTCTTTAAAGAATGCAGAATTATGGAACCCTCATTTTCAAGCTATATATAGAAGGTATTTCTGCAGTGCTAACACTCATTTTTAAATCTATCAGAAATGCACATAAGCAACAGCAAGTGTAAAAGAAAAGAAGGTAGGAAGTTTTTTGGGATAAAAATTATTATACGTTATATTATTATATAAGTTATTTGGGAAAAAAAAATTACCCATCTGGCCTAGAACTAGCCAACAGCAGGTTTCCCCAGGCTCAGTGCTGGCTGTAGATCCTGGAAGTTGAAGCTGTCAACTTTCAAATGAAAAAAGCCAAACTCAGCACCTGGTTTCAGTCCCACTGCAGCCCCCGGTCCCAAGGCTGCTGGTGCCATTTGGAATTCTCATTTCCCCGTTCGGGAGAGCTTTAATCTTCCCCTTTGTGAAGCTGTGGGACTGTACAGGGAAAGTGCTCACATTACCAGCATGCAGCATTTTAAAATTTCCTTCTAGAAAAGAGCTGATTGTGTGTTTGCTTGTGCTGGGCATCCTGTTTGGGAGGAGGCACCTCCTGAGTGCTCACGGCTGTGATGCTGCTCAGGTCCTTCATGCACTGATCTCAGTGTAATTTCCTTAATCTAAAGATGCTCTGTGACAGCAATGGGTTAAAGAAGAGACTGGACAGAGATTTGCTGGCAGTGTCCCATGAAGTCCAGGAATGCCAGCTGGAGATGAAGCCTTGAGCAATGAGGGGAACGTGGGACACTGGAACAGGACTGGATCTGCTGCAGGCGCTGGGAGAGGCTGTGGGCACCGAGGGGTTTGTGCCAGGCCTGGGGGGACTGGGAGTTCTCAGAGAAGGGAGGGCAGGCAGGGACTGCCAGCCTGTCCTGGCACATGGCTCTTGTGCTTCGTGGCTCAGGGGAAGCCCTTGGGACTGCCAGAGTCTTGGAAAAGACAAAGAAATAGGCTTGTGATAGAAAGTGCTGTTTGCCCAGGGATACAAAAGCACCATGTAGCTGGGAAGAATGATGTTTAGGTTGGATATGTGTTCATACAGCAGAAATTGATGGGTAATGAAGGAGATTTCCAGGAATTGCCTGCTGGTCTCTACATTCCTCTTCGCAAAAACACATGCGGTGTAACAGCTGCTTCCACCCACTCTGGTTCTTTCACATAAATCTAGTGAAGGAAAGGGTCAGGTTAAATCCAGCTCTCCCAAATACCTTCCCAAAGCCTAGCAAGGTTCAGGTAACAAGCCTTGGTGGAAGAGCACCCTGTGAATTCAAACAAGTACCAGTTCTGAGAGACAGAAGGTGACACTGTGCTGCAGCCCAGGACCACGGTGCTGCCGCTCGGAGCACGGTGCCCTGGGAGGCTGCAGGGCTCCCTGCATCCTCCTCATCCTGCTCACAGCCCTGGCTCCCTGGCAGATGTTCTGTGTGCTCTGGGAGCACGGCCACAGCTCTCAGCCCAGCTCTGGGAGCTCAGCCCATGGGGAGGGAGGGATGGCTCTGCCACGGCGTTTGTGCCGCGCTGGGAACTGCGAGCAGCGCACACGTCCTGCTCAGAGGCTGCAGCAGGGTTTGTTCTGTGTGATTGTGCCTTCTTTTAAATTAAACTATTTTGCAAGCACTTCCTTCCTGCATTTCTCAGAAGGAGGGAGGGGGGTGTGCAAAGAATGTTGAACTGCCTTTGACGGAGGAGGAAAACTGAAGAAAACAAGAGATGCAATCCTAACTACTGACCTTTTACTTGAGCTTGGTGATGTTTTTCAGCAGCAGAGCCTCTGGGGAGTAACAGCATCCTCCTTGCTATTGTGCTGCCTGCCCAAAAAGGGGGCTAAAGTTCAGCTTTTATGATGTTCTCACTCTGGGCTTGTGGGAAAAAGGCCACATTCCCTTTCTTAGGTCATACGAGTGCAAGAGATGACAGAGTCCTACAGTCTAACCCCAGGGCAGGAGGCTGGTGCAGAATGGGGCTGGGATAGACAGCTTGGTAAATACACCCCAGCTTTTTCTCCTTATGGAGACTCACAGCAGGTGGGAGGGGAATTTACATTGTTAAATTAAAAGGCACTGATTTATTTTATGTTGGTGTGTTATTGTTTCATAAGATCACATGGGTTGCCATTACTTGTGATGGACTCTTGCACTTTATTGTTAAATCCTCCTTTTCCACTTTGGTCAACAGTTACTGGAAATGAACGTTATCTACCAGGACAAAAACAAGAGGCAAATAAGCATAAA